GTACAAGTTTCTCGACTGACGTCTCCCATCCCAGTAATTGAAACATCACAGAGATGCAAATGTCGGTATGTCTGGAGAGCGCAGGCGTGGTCAGGGACAAGAAGTCGTCGAAGTAAGCGCTCCAGACAAGTTTCAACAACTTCGCCCCTATCATCCAGACGGCGGATGAGCACCGCAAGAACGCGGTCACGGACGCGACGGATCCGAAGGGCAGGACACGCTGCTTGTAGATTTCAGCTAGCTGGGACTTCGGGTTGAAGACAACTATATACGAATCTAGCTCGAAGGCAACGTCAGAGAGAGGGACTTGTTTGTACGCGTCGCGGAGGTCCCACGTCTTTGCCACCGCTGCGCAGTCCTTATTGTGTTCCAGATGTGACCTGAACCAATGGGCAACCAGTCCGGCCACATGGTCGACAGTGTGCACTGACACTCCCTCTGGCTGTGTCACAGAAGAGTTTACAAGAGAAGCTCTATAGTCATCAATCGGGCGCACTTTGTTCTTTTGTTTCACTGGGAATCTTTTCGTCAAAGTGGCTCCAGATGGCACGCAGGTCAAGTCAACAGGTCCCTCTAGGAACCCTTTGGCTACCTCCTTTCTAGTGACTTCGTGAAGTGCAGCATCAAGATCTGGGTCTCCAGACGACTTGCAACTGAGGACCATGGCTTCTCGAGCTAGGTCGGCAGATTTTCTCAGAGTCTCGCAGGGCAACGAAGCTGGCCTGAATTTTTCTTCAAAGAAATTCGACCTAGGCAGCTTTCCTGTCAGGTCGAAACCATGGCGAATGCATTCTGCTAGCGTGGTGTCGGAGTGTCCTGCCTCACGGATCAACTGGTCAAAAAGATGCAGCCTCTTCTTCTCCAAAACTTGTCTTCTACGCGTTGACAAGGAGTCTTTATTCTTTGCTTCGGCTTGGCTGAAATCATTGGCTAAGCTCAACCATCTTTTCACAACTTCTGTGCGGTGCTTGGCCACTTCATAGTCAGTCCTCGAGGCACAAAAATTGTTGGCTTCAATCATCTCTACCGGAAAATTCGAAGCTAGCAAAGCTGGGTGGCCCACTCTAATCGCTTCTGCTACGAATTCCTCTGGCGCCCAATGAATACCAATCGTTATGTGCTCTTTGGTTTCTGTGACTTGTTCTGCCTCCCCTTTCCTGATTTCTTCACTCGCGAAATGCCCCGGTCTGGGAGTGGAAAGCTTCCTGGAAAGTGGAGGGAGCGGGGCGTCAGCAGGGTGACGCAGGATGGCTGCGAACTCAGGCACCAGAGGTGGCAGGGGCTTGCGGGATTGTGTGCCAGTGGCTGCTCTCAAAGTTTGCAAACTGGCTTCTTGCTGTGCGAAACACAAAGGCGGGAAAATCAAACCTTGTTGCTGCAGCCAGTCACTTAACGCAAAGGCCAGCGACCGACACAAGGCCCAAGGATAGGCGGTCTCGTGGGAAGTTGCCCATCCATTGGGGGCCATGGCGCGTTGGCCCCACGGCTCATGGTCGTGATCACCTTGGCAAAATGCTTGTAAGGCGGAAAAACTGGGGACCATGTGGACCAAGGAGGTGAGTTTGCGTCTTGCACTGCCATAACAACAGTGGTGAAACTGAGTTGTTGCGACGGGGATCTGCTGCAAGAATTCTTGAAAGCATGTCGTTTGCCACATGAACGAACGGCCCGGGTTTTCAATGGAGAAAAGAATGTGGTTGCGGTAGCAAAAGGTGGCAACCTGACAGGTGACACGATACAAAAGATTGGCTTGGCGAACTCGGTCTGCGTCAATACCCGTGAGGGTAGGCAGGCCGTCGGGGTGCTGATCGGTGCGTAGCACCGGCGGGTTGAACCTGCCTTTCCGTTGGATCAAGCGGGCCCGCGAGGCGGTACCGCAGGGTGGCGCAAAATGGCAGAAGATGCAAAAAGGATCGGACATCAAGGTTTCCAAATGCTTCACTTGGATTGGATCGGTCAAATCTAGTCTAATTAAGGGACTTGTCAAGCGGGCTGGAGTCTGGCAGTCAACTCCAAAGCTTTCATTCATCCCAAACTGGCGAAGAACTGCGGTGAGTCTCCCTGTGCCTGCGAAAACTTCGATGCAGAAAAATTGCTGCACATGTTTGCCGCGAAGCTTTGCAAGCACGCCGGTCAAAAAATCTCACTTGTGCTGCAAGAGACTATGCGCTTTGCCGCATCCGGGCTCAGCACAGACGTGCAGGCCTCGGGAGCAAGCGTTGCCAACTGCGGCATCTTTACAACCGGAAGACATGTTGAAGGGCCAACAAATTCTGTCTCCATCGCTGGTTTCCAAAGCCTTGCCGATGAGGTCTTTGGGAACGTTGGGCCCCCTTCCTTTGTCACGTTTTCCTTTCCCTTTTCCTTTGCCCTTGCCTTTCACCTTCAAAAACTTGTTGGGGCTCTCTTGCGTGGCAAGGCTGGTCTGGGAACGCTTCAGCCACTTGCTGTCCTTTGGAGGACGATCGGGCTGCTTGGCCAGTGGAAGCAAATGGAAGCTCACACTGGGATGCGACAGAACTGTGGGCAAGGCTTCTTCAAGCGGCTTAGTCCCGTCAGGCTTCGGCTTCAGGGTGGTCAGGCGCTCGGCTAACAGCAAAAACGCTGCGCGATCGGCCCTCAGCACCTGTTGTACTGTGACTTCGTTGTACCCCGGCGGGGCTGACTCTTGGAGGTGTTGGACCAGCTCGGACTGGTACTGGTTCATGACATTGTATTCACATGCGCCCACCAGGTCAAAGGCCAGAGCACGGCGGCGAAAAGCCTGGACAATCTCAAGCTCTGTCTTGGTTGGGCAGATCATGTCGGACTTTTTTCTTTCAAAGTCAGAGACCCGTTGTCCAACGACAGCTCTTTGGATGGTTTTTTCTGTTGAAGTTCGAAGCGACGGGTCTGAAACTTTTCTGGCCCGAGATACAGGAGCGCATCCTTTTCAAGCATCTGCAACACAAGGTCATACGATGCGTGGGCGTTTTCTTCCGCCCCTTTGAAAAGGAGGCCGCCCAACCTTTTTCTCTGAGCTGTAATTCGGGTGTCGCGCTCGGCAACTGCCATGGTCGTCGGGAGTATTTCTTCTTTCTTCTGGATCTTGTTCTTGAGCTCCCCAACGACCATGGTTTGCGCTTCAAAAATGAGTCGTTTGGTTGAAGCGATGGTTCCGATGTTTGGAGTCACGCTGTCCCCAAAGAGGCCACGAATCTGGTCATCAGTCGCTGTGGTTCCTGGCGGGCCCAAGACAAAGGCCAACCGCGCTAGACTGGTGAGGTTGTTGTCGATGAGAGCCTGAATTTCAGCCTCAGTCAAATGTACCTCCAAACATCGTGTCTTCAAGGCTTCGGTTGATTCGAGGAAGGTGGACATGGCTGGCACCTTGGGAGCTTTGCCAAACTTCTCGAGCTGCTAGCAAAACATGTATACAACTAAGTCAAACAGAATCAACGCCAAGCGCAGGAATAGTCTCTGAAAAACCGAAATCTTTCAGTGGCTCTTCCTGTTCGTGCAGTTCCGCGAGTGTCACACAGATCAAAGAGACTTGGCGCCGACATTTGTCAAGCCTGAGTGCGCTGCCGCTTCAGCACTGCCGCCAAAGCGCCATAATCTCTGATTGGTCGAACTGTTTCGCAGCGAAGACATTTCCGACTCTGCAAAAACAAACTCTCACTGATCTCACGAAAATCGGATGTGTGGACTATACCGCAATGAAAGCGGTTGCGAATTGTGCCTAAAGCTTTCTTGTGCACGACTTTAGTCCTATGGTGTTGAAAAAGTTGGACATCAGGCTCACTGTTGATAGCTCCGTGCTCAGGCTGGAAATCGGCCAGCTCTTGGTCAGACATGGAGGCATCGGAACTCGATTCGCTAGATTCGCTAGATTGGTCATCCAGCAACCTGGCTGGGCTAAAGTCTGTGGGTTCAACCCTGTGATCCTCCTCCTCCACCGCGATTGGAGCCTCAGGCTTTGTCGCGATGCTCTCAGAGGCGTCGTTGTTGATCTTGCCTTCGTTCTCCTGCTCTGCCACCATACCGGATCTGGTGTTGTCTGGGCAAAAAGTTCCCTGCCGAACATGTTGAAGCATGTTTTCGTACTCCCTCAACGGGGAAGCCAAGAGCTCCCTGGCATAAATGTCAGCAGATCTGGAGTTCGTGCTGTGGTGGCCGAGTATCAGGCGACTGTGTGGCTCGATGCCAAACTTTGCACACCAGCTGAGTGTTGTGGCCTTCAAAGAATGCGACGTTGGCCGTCGCGTCTCCTTCGGGTCCTCGTCAAGCAACACCTGAATCCACTTTGAACACTCTGAGCTTCTGACTGCTCTCTGTGTCCAGGCGCCACTCTTGTCGGGCGCGGGCATCAAGGGCCCTTCAGGCCGATCGACGAAAGCTAATCCGGTTTCCTTGGCCACGTCCAGAAATTTCACGCCCCAAGGAGGGGTTTCAAGTCCCAGGACTGGTGCCACTAGTGGCATAACTAGCCCTTTCTTTCGTACCAGATGAGCCGTCTTGTGAGACCGAGTTCGGCACTCCAAGAAGCCATGACTGGTTGCCCGCGCAACCTGCGGGATATCGCATACTGCGTTGTACACTTTGCGAACATCGCTCCACCTGGACCTAGAGTAGATGCAAAACAGAACAACACCGACAAAGTATCGTTCAGTCAGCGAGACGCCCTCATCGCTCAGCATCTGTTCCAAGCGCTTGATCTCTGTGACTGTCAACGGGCGTGCCTGCCTTAACTCCTTTCTCTGGCCCAGGGAGTTTTCCAGCAACCTTCTGCCTTTCAAAGTCACTATTCCTTCCTCGGTTTCAGAAACAAGCCTCATGTGAAGGTGATGCTTGCAAAAGTTCACTGCTTCCTCAAAACTTGTGTAGGCAGAAGGAGCTGCCTCACACGTTGTCAAGAAAGAAAAGTAGTTCTCAATGTCCAGAGGGGATGCAGGAAAAATATCTGATTGTTTCTTCTCTTTGCGCGCCCAACTGCTGAATCTAAGCAACGACGCGACTCTTTTCTCAAGCGTGGCAACGCTCTTCGATCCTAAGAAAAGTTTGAGTGTAGCAACGCCCTCCTTGGTGTCCTCGGCTAAGTTGGCGAAACTTTCTGGCAGACAGGACGAACTGATCGACACCAGAATGGTCCACTTCTCATAGAGACGGTTCAATCGCCTTTCTTCTGCCAAAGCTTCCTCCTCGACTTCGTGAAACTTGATCACCCTCAAAAAGGAACCTTTCTTTGGCTGACCTATGGTTTGTTGCAGGTCACGCTGACGGAACCTGGTCTCCAAGTCCTCTGCAGAAGCCGATATCAAAGGTTTGGGAACGGTGTCCTGCGAATTGGGGCCCCCAAAAATCTCTGCAAATATTCCTGCCTCCCAAGGCAGCTTCAGCTCACTCCCTGGCTCTGAGTGGAACTGACTGTCAAACACGGTTTGATTGAGTTTCTCTTTCATTGGTCCTTCTAGCTCCTGAATTTGCGTCACGTCTAGCCCTGTGCACTCCTCATCAGACACGGCAGTTTCACACTGCCCTGCGACATCGTCCTGTCCTCCTTCGAGTTCGTTGGGAGCATTCAAAAACATATTCCATTCGGCTTCATTCTCTGGAAAATTCAAACTCGCGGCTCTGTCATCGCCCGCCCCACACTGATCCACGTCAATGTGGCGAGGCAAAGGTCTTTTCAGGTCTTCGGAACAAATCAAATCTGAGTCAATGTCCATGCCCGCGCGCTAATTGGAGCCAGCTCACAATGAGTGAGTCAAAAGAAGAAAAACAAGTAGCATCTTGCCTCTGTGCTTCGTGACTTCACAGCGTCACATTGAAAGTTTAGCCTCTTTTGTCTCGGCTTGATGCTCGTTCTCGATGAACTTAGACTGTTTTACTAATGAGGGGAGACTAACTGGGACTAATGCAAAGCATCTATATAATTATCATAGTCGAACTTAAAGTTTGCAGTGTCTCACCGTCCAATGCCGTGTACAGTCTGCGCCAAACTGGCCACAGGTCTGGCTGGTTCCGGCTCTTCTCAGTCACGTCGTGGGATCCTGACAAGTCGCGAATGTTGTCACAAATGTTCCCAAACATCGAAGGTGGTGTTCACAAAAGTAGTAGTAAGGCTCTTAAACCAAGACATCGACTCGACACCTGTCCCACACGGTAAGGTCGACTATATGCAAGTGTACACGTCAATGCTCGATCTCAGCCGGGCGAAAAGAAGAACACAAACCAATAAAATTTGTTTTCCTTGCTTGCTTCTTCCTCTTTGAACCTAACTCACACTCGTGAGAGGTAAACACAGGTTCCGACTTGCTTCCGCTTCTCACCTCATGTTCAAAGGCCACTTCACCACCCAGTCACACGACTGCACTTAACTCAAACATTTGAGTTCCAAGCTCACGTGAGCTCAACTTTGGGCTCACTCGAGCCTACCTGTTAAAACACGCGCTTACAACCCAGAAAAAAAACAATAGAAGGGGACGAACGCAATTTCAGCGCACTCGCGCTTGCAGACTCTTGGGCCCTGACTCAAACAATCCCTCAAGAGCGTCCCTGTCTTCAGGGACACTTGTCCCAGAGACTCGGCCGCTTGAGCCGCCAAGTAACGGAACTCAAGCCTGCACTACGTGTATGGCCCTTAGGACACTTGCCCAGTAGTATGTGTACTTTGCCAAATTGACATCAAACACTGCTCAATATGACGTTTCTCAAATACACATCACTGAACGAGAGAAAAAAATAAACTAAAACAAAAAACACATAAATCCACTCCGTCAAACTCTTCCAAAGCAGATTCAACAAATTGACTGCAATTTCGGACATCTGAAGCTACACTGCGGAAATCTTATATGCACAAGTGCCCAAAGAAAGTAGCTGAAAAATGTAAAGTGTTTCTAGGGTTGCACTGCGAAAATCCCCAGAGAACAAAGTGCACCAAATCTTTAGGCGGGAGCAGGGCTGGCTTCAGCCTGTACCGGGATCAAACTGCAAGCGCAAAGAATGCGAATATGGCTGCGGGACCGACTACGAGTATGAGAGGCTGCAGGAACGACATGGGTGATTTCTGCGAAGGCAGTGGGCCAATACGTTGGAGGGCGATGCGAACTACGGCTACTCAAGTTGGAGGCCAGGGCCCCTTGACACAAAGGGTGGCACATGGCACGCGGCAGCGTATGTCCCAAAATTGCACGGTTTAAAGATACTTCCAACGTAAGATTAAAGATATGGCTTTGCTCAGTGTCCTGGACATCATTGTGGAACCGTGGCGGCTCACTCGTTACCGGATGGTATCAAATGCATGTGTCCACAAATGACCAAATCAGTATATCAAACAGATTAAGTTTTCTTTTGGGTTCGTACAACGTACTGCTGACGTAGTAAAAATAATGCACTATCCCTTCTTTGTCGGGAAACGTTTC